TCATTCTGTGTGATTTCAGTATTTTTAAGTATCTCAAATTCAATTCTTCCACCTTCACAAAAATCCAAAATATCTTCATTTTTAATTTCTTCTTGAAATAATTTAAAAAAATCCTGGAAATTCAGTTTTGATAGGTTTTTCTTTTTTTTCTCGTAAATTTTTTGTCTAACCTTTTCTGCATAATCCTCAATGGGTTTATAATATTTATCATAATCTATTTGTTTATATTTAAACATGGTATCCCATAACACGTTAAAAAATCCGTTAAATAAACGTCTATCACTTGGATGTCCGTAATAATCACATTCCCATAACTCGTTAACCAAACAGTATTCGACACCGTCATCATGTGTAACACATTTGATACAATAAGGATAAGATGATTCAATTAAGCTTAGGATCAATATCAAGATTATCCAGATCAAACGTGATTTTATTTCCTTCATCATCATAAAAATAAATTTTGTTCTCTTGTTTATTTGAAGAAGAAGGAGAAGAAGAAGGAGAAGGATCTTTCAAATCTTTCAATGGATCTTTTACAAACAGGTAAAAGTATTCCCAACCATTATCTGGTGGTTTTAAAGAATTCATATAATCTTCAATTTCTTTCCGTGAATACGAAAAAGGTGATTTTGTATCAGGATTTAACGGATCGATTGGTGGATTACATTCGTAAACATCATCATCATAATAAAAACATTGAAAATATTGTGAAAAAGTGTGTTTAACAAAAAATAAAAATATAATAAAAAAAAATTTATTCATTTTTTTTTTTAAATTTCTAAATTATTAAAGATTTCACCAATTTTATAATGAATCAAATTGAAAAATGTTAAGTCATCATCTCTAATCACATTTAATAATAAATCGACTAATTCTAAAAATATTTTCTTATTGTAAATTTTAATTTCTATGTAAAATTCTTTGTTTCTTTTTTTATGAAATCCGTTATTTATAAGTAAATTCCAAGGTTTATTATAAAGTTCTTTATAGTGTTTTAATCTATTCACTATTCTAGATTTGATTTCGTAAATATTATCTTTATTGTTAACAATTTTTAAATATCTTTTCATAATTATGTTAATGATTTTATTATTATTTACAAAGGACAGAAAATAAATCGGTTTAAATCGAATATTATTATTTCTTTTTTTAAACATGATAATTGATTGATTATTTTTTAATTCGATTTGTTCGTTAATTTTAATTTTAATTTTTAGTTTTAACTCTTCAAGTTCGTTAATGTAGTTTTTTTCATCTTTGATAAAAAAAT